TCTTCTTATTCTTCTCTCTCTCTCTCTCTCTCTCTCTCTCTCTCTCTCTCTCTCTCCCTTCCTTTCTTTGTTTCAAGGCAGGGTTTCTTTGTGTAGCCTTGACTATCTTGGAACTAGCTTTGCAGACCAGGCTGACCTTGACCTCCCAACATCTGCTTACCTCTGCCTATTGAGTGCTGGGATTAAAGGTGTGCGCCACCACTGCCCGGCTATACCAGGTCTTTTTATTTCTCATTTTTTCAGCAGCTCTCTGGTGTGTGTGTGTGTGTGTGTGTGTGTGTGCCTTTGCTGTTTCACCCATCAACACTTGTATTCAAAAACACGTCCCTTCAAGTCCTTTGCTTCTCCTGGAAACTGAATTGCTCTTATCTCACATATGAAGGGTATTCCTCAGCCCCTTGAAAGGGATTCCAAACTAGAGAGGTGCATGTCTCAGTGGTTAAGAGCACTTGCTCCTTTTGGAGAGGATCTAGGTTTAGTTTTTAACACGCATGTATTGATTCACAACCATCTGCAACTCTAGTTCTAGGGCATCTCTTATCCTCTTCTGGCTTCCATGGGCACCAGGCGCATACATGACACACATGGTACACATATATGCAGACATTTACATAATTTTTCTAAAAAAAATCTTTTAAGAAAGGTAAGTGGAGGCTGGGCGATGGTGGCGCATGCCTTTAATCCCAGCACTCGGGAGGCAGAGGCAGGCGGATCTCTGTGAGTTCGAGACCAGCCTGGTCTACAGAGCTAGTTCCAGGACAGGCTCCAAAGCCACAGAGAAACCCTGTCTCGAAAAACCAAAAAAAAAGAAAAATAAATTTAAAAAAATAAGTAAAAAAGAAAGGTAAGTGGAGGTGGAACAGACTTAAAGGGGACAGAGATGCCATCCTTTGGGATGCTCTGGGTCAGGCTGAACATACACTTAGTTTCCTGTCTATCTAGTTTCCTGTCTAGGCTCTGGTGGCTGCCTCTTCCGGGTCAGCTTGCTCAATCCCTCAGTACCACACTGCTCCGCCTATTTCACTTCCTAGTGAACACATAGAAAGTTGTTGCCTTCCTCTACACAGAATACATCTTAGCGGAAGCTGCCGTGCCTCATTTGGTTTCAGAGGCTACCACTACCTGTCTAGTGTATGACTTAGAACACAGAGATGCTGAATGAATGCTGGTACCTAGTTCTAAGGGCAATGAATTTTCCTCCAAGTACTGCTTTAGCTGCCATACATTGGCTCCGCTTTCTGCTCTCTTCATGGTTACTGGCACTTTCAAAACAGGGCAGGGGTGGTCTTGCACAACTTAGGCTGCTCTTGATCTTCCTACCTCCACATTCCAAGTGCTGGGATTACAGGTGTGCATCTCCTTGCCATTTATTTATTTATTTATTTATTTATTTATTTATTTATTATACAGTGTTCTGCCTGCATGTATTGCCTGCAGGCCAGAAGAGGGCACCGGATCTCATTTTAGATGGTTGTAAACTACCATGTGGTTGCTGGGAATTGAACTCAGGACCTCTGGAAGAGCAGCCAGTGCTCTTAACTGCTGAACCATCTCTCCAGCCCCTCCTTGCCATTTTGTAACATGTGTCTTATGCAGTACCAAACTACCTCTGGCCAGGAAGGAAGAATTCTTTTCATGTCTCAGGAAAACCAAAGCTCAAAGACAAGGGGACTTGCTCTCAGCATACAGGGTGGTACAGTGAATCTGCCCTTGGTTGACCTCAGGATTCATGGCCCACCAATTAAGCTGGGGGACATGTTTCAAGTCAGAGCCTCCACTCTAGCTCTGTCATCTCCATAGTGTCTCGTCCTCTTTGAGTCCATTAGGCCACCTCTAATGCTCTCAAGTGTCCAATTAGGGCTCCTACTAATTAGGAGAGAGCCATGACTTCCGAAAGCCTGTGAATGTCTCGCAACAAGAATACCACAAGAATCATTTAAAA